TTCTTACATGAAGATATGAGACCATTTTATTCCTTTTTTAAAAGTGGAGCAAGCCAGGCACAGTGGCACATGCCTGTAATCCCAGCAGCTCAGGAGACTGAGATAGGAGGATCACAGGTTCAAAGCCAGCTTCAGCAATGAATGAGGCACTAAGCAGCTCAGTGAGAACCTGTCTCTAAATTAAAATACAATATAGGGATGGGGATGTGGCTCAGTGGTTGAATGCCCCTGAGTTCAATCCCCAGTTACCCCCCCCCCCCCCCSSCAAAAAAAAAAAAAACCCAACTGGGGAGACAGCCTAGGAGTCCTGTGGAAATCATTCTGTGTGGAAAGTGGTCTCTTTCTTGAGATTTCTCTGGTTCAATCCATCCACCCTTTCTAAGGAAAGAATGTGAATTCCTTTCAAGAAAGATAAATGAAAATGAGAAGCCAAGAGAAGTTACTTTGATCCCTGGTAGAGAAAATATAGGGTAAGAAAAGGAAAAAAAAAAAAAACTGGCAATAAGAACCCTGTCCATTTATTCTGGAAAGAGTGGCTTGTTTTCTGAAATAACTTTTGGACTAGAAATTTATCATCTGAAGTCAGGTCATTTTGAGTTTTGGGGTTTTTTGGGGGTTGTTTTTTTTTTTTTTTTTTGCTAAACTAAAGGAGTCAAGTTATTAATATTTGAAAAATGGCTACTATGTGATGCATAGAATAATATAATTCTCCTACCTAAATTAACATCATTGCAGGCTCCATAATAAAGATTTATGAGATACTCATTGTGTGAAATGCTATTATGGAAATCTCCATAGGTCTGTGTTTGGGTTATAACTGGTTTCGTGGTTATGAACCAATTAAAAGCCCGAGTATTTTCCTCTCTTTTACACTCCAGTCTTGTCCCATTTTCTTTTGCCCTTAAACTAGAGCCACCCATTATTCTTCAACCTGTCTGTGTATTGTAAAAATGAAGAGATAAGAAAGTGCCGCCTACTCAGGTTGGCTATCTAGACAGACCATTTTCCTTCAGAGCATCCAACATGGTGGAACAATTTATCATTTCTTCTTCGTAAATCACTTTGATCCTTTATCTCAAGTTGATCGGTGAAGCTGAACATAAATTCTGGTTGTAGTGTCCATGTTCTTATCTATACCTAGAGCGCTGGAGGACCTTATAAAAACATGTGTGTCTGTGTCCGTGTGTATCTAATAAAATTAGAATATCACAATCAGAATATCTTCTCTGCTTCTAATGTTAAATTACCAGGTCATGAGTTCTCTTCAGTGTGACTTGGCATAATAAAAACTATACACTTGATCAAACCATTCATTCTCTTAATCTGAGGTTGACCTATTTTGGACTAGAACATTTGCTGGTTTGAACTTGTTAGGGCTGACCCTGGCACAGATGTGTTGACCTTTAACAGTTGCTCATTGGCTGCCCTTTATCAAACCCCCTGCTATGGCAAGTGACTCTCAGGACTCTTGTTCTCTTTTAAAATTATATCATCACTTTTAACATTTGCCAGTTGTCATTATAAGTGTTAAATTTGTACAACTTATAGTAAGCAGATGTTTTCTACACACTTGATCCTATGTAATCTTCACAACTGCCCTGTGAGGTAAGTTTTAGTATTTTTTATATTGTTTCCCTTATTTAGAAGACTGAGACCCAGAGAAGCAAAGTGAATATGTCCAAGGTTACACAGCTAGTGGCAGGGCTATATCCCTGGCCACCTAAGTCCTTGATGAGTGTCCTTTCTACAACACAATAGCTGAAGTTTAACTTTCAGTGTCATTCAGCTTAACTCAGTGGTATTTGATAGACTTTTCAAAGACTGAGGAGTTGGAACCCTTGAACTTTCAGTCTAGCAGGCAATGTGATATTGAGTAAATTATTTAAACTGGCCAAGAGGTTAATGGCGCCATGTGCCAGATCCAACTCCTATACAACTAAATTATGGCTAGTATAGAATTTTTAAATACCTGGTGACACATAAACATGAAATATTGCCAACAGTACATTATAAAAAGAATTCATGTGATTCATGAACATATAGGATTATATATTACACTGCATGTGCTAAGACTTTGAGAGCTTTCTAAAGATAGTATTTTCTGAAAGATATATGATTGAACTTGAACTCCCCTGGGGACATCCATTTCAAGATCAGAAGTTTGCTTTTTTAAAAAAAAAGAAAAAAGAAAGAAAGAAATGCTTCATGTAAAGCATTTTTCAAACTCATCAGGCAGATAGATACGTACATACTTCTTATTTCCATAGCACTATTCAGTGATAGCAAGTCTTAAGTATAATGAGTCCAGTAAATGAGAAGGAGATGCCCTTGTCCCCTGAGACTCACTTCCCTTTCTTTTCTTTTTAACATCTATTTGAATGGAAATCAGAGCATGCTGCTTCTCAGAACTGGGGACCCATCGGCATCATCCTAAGAAAATGTACATTTTTCTTTTTAAGTAAAAATAAGTAGAAAATCCTTTTTTAAAAAATTTGCTCCTTTTCTGAATTACTCTTAGAAACAGGCAGTGTCCACACTATGGAGAGTGCTTATTGCTGGGAGGCTTTGGTATCTGAAATGTGGCGGTGTCCTGCTGAGGAGGAAGAACACAGCATACACTGTGAGCAGGGTCATAAGGGGACCCCTGACCAGGCTATGATAGCCTATGCACTGGCATGAGAGACTGTCTTCCACAATCAGCCTCTTTATCTCATGGGGATAAATCCATTTGGCTGGTGATTTTACTTACTTTTTGCTTTTCTAGCCTTTGAGACTAAAAATACTTGTTACAGTATATGGGACTCTTGGCTGATGTTTTTGATCCCAAAACTGCCTTGATCCATAACCACTTGATAAAGTTCTTTTTCAAAGCTCTTCTGCCTGAATATTGGGCATTAAATGAGACCTGTTTAGAGAAAGTATAAAACTCAGAATCCTACTGTTGAAAGTTGGTTTTGTTCTGACAAGGTCAGACATATGACTCTTTACCCCTACCCTGCCAATGAACTGTGAGTGCCAGAGTTGTGACCATGACAGTGACTGAAAAGTTAAGAGAGCCTGGCTTACAGGGCCAACAGTATGTCACACTCTTAACCAATAAAAAATTAACATAAAGGATGATGGATTATGAAATAAGGTATCCTGGCCTACATTAAGAGCCATGTTTGGCCTGCTTTGTAAATCTGAGCTGTAAACCACTATGGAAAGTAGGTAAACCACTGGGCTGTAGGTAAATCTGGGCTGTAAAGTAGGTAAACCTGGGCTGTTGGAAAGACCCTTTGACCACTTTTCTCCATGCCTCCCTCCCTCTACTCTACTCTCCCTAGCTTCTGGTAACCACTGTTCTCTCAACTTATGTGAGATCAGTCTTTTTAGATTCCACATATGAGTGAGATCATACAGTTGTCTTTCTGTGCCTGGCTTGTTTCACTTAAATGATGATCTCAGCTCCATCCAAGTTGTCACAAATGACAGAGTTTTGTTCTTTTCTATGTATTTACACCACATTTTCTTTTCATTCATCAGTTGGTGGACACTTAAGTTTCCATTCCTTGGCTATTGTAATAGTGCTACAGTGGACATGGAAATACAGATGTTCCTTTAACATTGTTGATTTCATTTTTCTCCCATTCTGTAGGTTGTCTCTTCACTGTTGTTTTTCCTTTGCTGTGTGGAAGTGTTTTAATTTAAAATAATCTCATTTGTCTGTATACCTATTGGATGCATACCCTGGAATGGGGTTGCTAAATTATGTGATGGTTCTACTTTTAATTATTTGATGACACTTCATACTGTTTTCCATAATGGTTGTACTCATTTACATTCCCAGCAACAGATGGGTTCTCTTTTTTCCATATTCTCACCAGCACTTATCTTTTGTCTTTTTGTTTTGTTTTGTTTTGTTTTGTTGTTCAAAACATTACAAAGCTCTTGACATATCATATTTCATACATTAGATTCAAGTGGGTTATGAACTCCCATTTTTACCCCAAATACAGATTRCAGAATCACATYGGTTAYACATCCACATTTTTACATAATGCCATATTAGTAACTGTTGTATTCTGCTACCTTTCCTATCCTCTACTATCCCCTCTCCCCTCCCCTCCCATCTTCTCTCTCTATCTTTTGTCTTTTTGATAGTCATTCATTCTAACTGCAGTGAGGTGATATTATGGTTTGATTTGCCTTTCCCTAATGATTAGTGATGTTGAATATTTTTTCATATACCTATTGGCCATTTATATATCTTCTTTTGAGAAATGCCTATTTACGTCGATTGCCCATTATTAAATTTGATTACTTGGTGGAGTTTTTTGTTGTTGTTTATTTTTAAGTTTTATTTTTATTTATTTTTGCTCTTAAGTTGTTGCATTCCTTATACAGTCTGGATATTTGCCACTTGTCAGATACATCGTTTGCAAATATTATCTCCTATTCTGTAGGTTGTCTCTTCACTGTTGTTTTTCCTTTGCTGTATGAAAGTGTTTTAGTTTAAAATAATCCCATTTGTCTGTTGTTGCTTTAGTTGCCTATGCTTTGGGGGATCTCTCCAAAATATTGTTGCCCCTTTCAAAATCCTGAAGAATTTTCCCTGTGTTTTCTTCTAGTAGTTTCAGGCCTTACATTTAAGTCTTTTATCCATCTTAAGTTGATTTTTGTAACGATGAGAAATAGGGGTCTAGTTTCATTCTTCTGCATGTGATTATCCAATTTTCCCAGCATCAGGAAACAGACCCTCCGCCTACTTTGAGGGGTCAGTGTGAAGACTAGAAATAGTACATAGAGTGCAAAGCACAGTCTTGTGTGTAGATGGCCATGAGAAAGTGTTACTATCATTATTACTGTCACTCAGCATGGAACTTCTAAGACCTTTTCTGAAGACTTCACTGTTTGTTCCTAACCAAGTTAAACCTTCCAAGTTAATCCTTTTCAGTACATCGTAAGTCTGGTTGTGAAAGTGTGGGTCTCATATTATCTTGCTTGCTTTCTTTTTTCAGATCTGTAAGAGCAAAGCTAAAGAATCTCAGCAGTATTATCATAGCTTGGCTGTCCGGCAGAGTCTGGCTGTTCATTTTAACATCCAGCAGGACTGTGGTCATTTCCTTGCTGAAGTCCCCAATCGTCTGCTTCCCTGGGAGGATCCTGATGCCCCTGAAAAGGCAGAGGATGAATTGGAAGACAGCGAAGAAGAAGCGAAGGGAGAAACTAATGGAAAAAAAACAGAGGCCTGCTCTGAAACAGAGTCATCTCAGAAAGACAGCCAGGGAGTCACAAACAGGAAGCAGAGAAGCCATGTTGTGGTCATCACCAGAGAGGTTCCCCATCTCACTGTGGCCGATTTTGTGAGAGATTCTCTGGCCCATCATGGGAAAAGCCCTGACTTGTATGAGAGGCAAGTGTGTCTGCTGCTCTTACAGCTGTGCTCTGGCCTTGAGCACCTCAAGCCCTACCATGTCACTCACTGCGACCTACGCCTAGAGAACCTACTGCTTGTCCACCACCAGCCTGGCGGAGCCACCCAGAGCCTTGGACCTGCAGAGCCCAGCCCCACCTCATCTTGTCCCATGAGGCTTATTGTGAGCAACTTCTCTCAGGCCAAGCAGAAGAGCCATCTGGTGGACCCTGAGATCCTCCGGGACCAGTCCCGCCTTGCCCCCGAGATTATAACAGCCACCCAGTATAAAAAGTGTGATGAGTTCCAGACAGGCATCCTCATCTATGAGATGCTGCACCTGCCCAACCCCTTTGATGAGAACCCAGAGCTGAAGGAGAGGGAGTACACCCACGCAGACCTGCCTCGAATCCCTCTCCGCTCCCCCTACTCCCGGGGCCTGCAGCAGCTGGCCAGCTGCCTCCTGAATCCCAACCCTTCTGAACGCATCCTCATTTCCGACGCCAAAGGCATCCTCCAGTGTCTGCTCTGGGGCCCCCGCGAAGATCTCTTCCAGACATTCACTGCCTCTCCAAGCCTAGCACAGAAGAACACCCTGCTCCAAAACTGGCTGGACATCAAGCGAACGCTGCTGATGATTAAGTTTGCTGAGAAGGCCCTGGATAGGGAGGCAGGGATCAGCCTTGAGGACTGGCTTTGTGCTCAGTATCTGGCCTTTGCCACTACAGACTCCCTCAGTTGTATTGTGAAAATCCTGCAACACCGTTAATGTGGCCTGGATGCTGCTTTTACTACATTTCCGTGTTCTTCATGATTCCCCCTGTGCTGCCCCATTATACAGTTCAAAGAAAACAGAGAGACAAACCTTCCATTCCTGTCCATAAACAGATGGGTCTATCAGAAGGCTATCACAACTCCAGATCAAGTGACAAGCGGGGTCTGTTTTCACTTTGCAAAATTCAACTGCGCAAACATGCAGTTTCCTTCCCTTGGAACATCTTTCATCCTAGTAGTCCCCCAAATGCAGGTAAAAAATGAAAATGCACCTCTTTGAAGGGACAACTCCTGTGGTGTGAACTCAATGAACTGTGGCCAGCTCCTCCATAATTCTGAAGATCACCTGTCTTTCTATAAACAAGTATTTATTCTTACTAGCAATAGTCAGATGTAACCAACCTCTGCCATCATCCCGTAAATCTCACAACAGACTCCTTCTTCCTTTAGGTTATCAATAACTGAGCCTTTGCCAGGCAGACTTGCATCCTTAGCATGAGTCCAGTTTTGGTTACCAGAGACTATATCTTTGTTCCAGCAGACAGTAGAAAGAAAAAGAGCAATCCCTACACTTTAGGTCACAGACCCATTTTCATTTCTATTATCAATAAGTGTGTGCACTGCACGGAGGACAGCTCTAATAGCCTCCCCTCTGCTGCCAGTGCCTGGTTCTCCTTCACCTCTGCTCAGTCCCCACTTGTCGATGAAGTTGGTGTTTATCAGCCACTTGCAGCCCATTACAGGGCTGACCCAAGGTGGTGTCACCAGTGCCTCAGCAGGGTGGAGCACAGTTCAGAGCTTATAAATAGCTGGCAGGACATGAGGAGATGATTTTCTTGCATGTGCAATTCTCTAGGGGCCACCAGGGAACAGAGTTTAAAGTACTATTCTTTGATTACTGTCAGAGCTGTCAGCGTTGGCAGCCAGGGCTGGCAGTGTCTGATCAGAGTTTTCCCCCGAGCAGTAATTGGCCAGCTTCCTTCTATCAGTAGCCAGTGTTAACTAGTCGACCAAATGCTATAGACAACAGCCCTGAATGAAACGGCTGTCAGCTTAGCTCTAAGATCTGCTTAGATGGCACTGTGAAACTGGCTACTTGGATAGCCAGAGGTAGGGGACAGGGAGAAGGCCACTGATGAGATGCTGACCCTACCAGAGAGACCTCCTTCTGGTGTAAGTGGCACATTGCTCCTAGGACTCTCAAATGGCTCTGGAGGACAGCTCACATGAAGGCTGACTGCTGAGGCTGTGGCTGATAGCAGCTGGGCTCACTGCCCGCCGTGCTCCTCTCCCGTGGATGTATGTGCAATCTTTGTATCTATTTTTTAGCTGTATATTACATTGTCTATGTTGCAACCTCACCTGAAGCGAGATCTACAGAAACCTTCCCCTTCTTCCCTCAGACATATTTGCGCTAAGACAAGTGTTCCTTTCACCTGAGTGTGTGTGCGTGTGTGTGCTTGTTGTATACAGAACTGTGAGTATTTGTTTACTTCAACCTTGAAATCCCAAGAGTCACTCGAATGGCATGAGTGTGTGTACAAGTGTGTGCTTCTATGTGTGTGCACACACATACTGGAAATAGAAGACAGGCCAGCCTGTGCGTCAGGGTTGATAGTAGTGTTCTCTGCACCTAGGTGGCAAGGAAGCCTGGGGCCCTTATCCACCAGCACAGAGTTTTCTTAAAGCCGAGACTGATTGTGCAGTATTACTTAGATGGCATATTAGTGGCCTTGGAAATTGCTAAACTTTAAACATTTGTAATAGCCTTTCAAGTGATTCACCTGTGTCAAAGAGGATCAAGAAAGGAGAAGAATGTATTTTATTGTGCTTTTTTTTTTTTTTAAGAGAATGACATGTGAGGCTCCACATGAGGATGTCCTTGTCCTCCCAGCCAGTAGTACAGGACTCCCAGGAAAGAGGCTGGTGGGCCCACAGAAGAGTCTTGCCTAGGAATGTCTATGGAGTGGGCATGCCGCTGCAGGCCAGCAATCCACTCCCTCAGTGTCCTGTAGCATGGCTGCACCTTGCCTGGCAGGCTGGTGTTTGGTTCCTCTTAGCATAGCCCATGTGCACATAACTCCTTGCCTAATTATGCACTGAACTGGCAGCACAGACCACTGCCCATGTCAGCCAGCACATTCCTGCAACCCCCCCCCCCCCCCCCCCCCCCCCCCCCCCCCCCCCCCCCCCCCCCCCGCAACAGTTTGCAAATTGAGACATACTTTCTCAATGTCACTCTCCTGGTGCCTTGCCCATGTAAATTTGAATGTTGACTATTTAATGAGGTTACATATTTAATGCAGAATGTTCCCTGGTCCCTCTGTTTGTTCTGTCTCTGGGTATCTTCCCCCACCACCACCACTCTGTTATGACTGTGTTCAGCCTTCTCTTTCATTCCACAGTAGAACAAGCACGGACACCTCACTACCACGGTCTTAGAGCACTGGTGACTGAGCACCTCTTCATACTGCACATAGTTAGTACTATTTCTACATCCATGTTTGTGAAGGGCAAAAGAGGAATGCCAGCTAGTCAGAGAAGGGCCTCAGGCTTCCCAGAGACAGGTGGCTACATTAATTTTCTCTGGGTGATGGCCAAAGAATGTGAGGGGGAGGGAAAGAGGGTGTTACAGGTCAGAACAGAATAGAGAAAAGAACTGCATTTCTAGGTAAGCTGTACAGCAGATGGTCCTCAGAATATTTTTCTGAAATAATTAAATTCAGTCATTCTAACATTATCAYAAATATTTTACATTTCCATTTTAATTGTGGTAGGAACTTTTAATTAATTCATCCACTGAAAAGAAATCCTACCCTCTGTAGAACCAACTACACACACACATTTAATATATATATAATATATTACATATTATATAACATATAATATATATTATATATATATATGACTTTTGGATTGTGACTAGTATAGCACTTTAAGTTTTCTCAAGTAACATCAAGTTATTGTCTTCAAAATTGATTGGAAATCTTTTTCTTTTCTGTTGAAGTCTTTAGTATAGATCCTTCTGTATATGTTGAGAGTTTGAACAATTAAGCCCACATTGGAATTTTTTCTTAAGCCACATGAGCATGAACAATCTCTGACACATTTGGGTGCTAGAGAGAGAGGCCAGTGGCTAGAGCAACCAAGAGCAAGAATGAATGTATCTCAGAGTGCCTTGCTGGAGTGGTAACCTTGTCTTGAAAGGAAGAGGGTACAGGGTGTTCCACAGAAAGAGTGAGGACTGTGCCCATGGAGGAGAGTCCTTTTGATATGTGCACACTAATGTGAAGCACAGAAGCTAATCAGGAAGAATGACAGCAGGATGAGAAAAAGAGCAGTTATGACCTGTAGATCAACAATATGAGAATCACAAATGAGGTCCACCAACCCTAAGGCTGAGTTAGGACTGGAAGCCAGCAGCATAGCAGTGAGTTTCGGGATTTGCCCTCAGAAGGTGGACTGGGTGAATGGAGGGGCACAAACATCCCTCCTACCTAACTACTGATGTTGATGGACGGAAAAGAAACACACCAGGGTTTAGAGTCAGAGCATCTCCATTGCCAGATTAGGCCCGTCTACTTCCAAACGCAATAAATACATCTGTGAACACAGAAATCTCAAAGCCAAGAAGTCTCAACCTAAGGAATGTTAATGATATTTCTGGGAACTACCAAAAATTGTATTTTAAATTCTCTAATATTATAAAATTCATGAGAGACCTTTGGGGCCCACTAAACAGTAGGGCCCAACATTATCATAAATATTTTTGATAATATTTATCACCCTGCTCTCCAAAGTTGAGCTGTAACTACTTTGGAACTGGGAAGTAACCTGACATTTAATTTTGCCGGTAACATGCAATTAGGATTCTCCCCTGCCCTTTATCAGCAGTAATCTGGAAAAAAAAATACAGACTAGTCCTAGAAATTTGGATGGATTTAGGATCCCACACTGTATTTCCAGTGATTTAGATGTATAAGCATGAACATACTTGGAGAGGGGACAAGCGGAACTTGACTCCCTGGGCCAACACTGGCATTGCTTTTCATCCCCTCACTAGTGGATAAGGATTGAAGATTCTGCCCGGTCGAATCAGTGAACAGAATGGCTACCTGCAAAACTGGTTATTGGATTTACCTCGTTGGAGCTCATATACTCAAAGGCCCAAAGCTCTGTGCTGAGACAAACCCAAGAGCTGCTCTTACTGGAGAGTGCACTGAAGTCCAGCTGTCCGTGCTCACAGCAACACCGCAGGTGGGGACTCCACGGACCAAAAATGATGCCCTGGGGAAGTCAGAAGAGGTGCAATACAAGATCCTAGACAGATTATACCAAAGAAATCAAGCTTTTTTATCTCAATGCTTCTCCAATGAGGAGGCTGAGGTGTGACAGATGCCAGGGGAGGGAAATTCACACACATTCCATGTTAGGGTATTCAGCTGATAAATCCATCCTTTAAAAAGCACCTATTTTTTTTAAGCAGTCCATTTTGTATATCAGAAGAAGATGATGATGAAGATGGTAGAATCCTGGAGCAGACAGTGAAGTCCCTGGTATCTAGGGAGAAGTTCTTTCAGCCCTGTAGCACGGCTGTGGCTGTTGTCCAGACCTCAGTGTGGGAACTTCATATAATGCTGAGAGCTGAAGTTTAGGGGTTTGGGGGGGTTGTTTGTTTGTTTAAAGAGAGTATAGTTTCAATAGGTTTAAGAACTCTTGAGAAATTTCTTAACATATTGTACCATTTTTTATAAACCTTCCTGCAGAGGTGTTTACCATTCAGCATCACCATCATTTAGTATTTATAAGTGCCCAGACTGTACAAGGTGCTATACAGCTGTTACACACTCCCTCTCTGCAGCTGTTTGAAATTAGAATAGATGTTGCATCAGCCACTGCTGGAAGCTTTGCCCGCCTAGGTGGGCCGCAGGGGCCTGCATTCCAACAGCCCTCCCACCCTTCCGCGCTGAGAGCCTCCTAGTCCCTTCCTGCTCACCTCATCCATCCCACCCGCCCCCATGGATTTTTTTAATCAAGGAAGTTTCAGGGAATCAAAAGAAATCAGAAAATTTTTTAACCTAGCAGAACTACAGAGCTATATATTTTGCTATGAATATTATTGTAGTACAGAAAATCCCCTTTGCCGTTAGTGTGTGCGAGCGTGTGTGCGCACTCTGGATAACTTGAATGTTGGACCAGCCCTGTGGCTTCAGGGTTGTGTTGCTGAAAGGTGAAACCACACTGCACCAGGAAGCCTGCTCAGATACTACCTGGTTATCCCTTCCCTACCAGTTCTCTAGAGGATTGTGTGTGAATACACCGGGCTGGGATTTTCTGTTGATGTGCAGGGCATTTTGGCATGAGATGAAGGCAGAAGCAAGGTATCATCCATCTCACTGATTTGAATCATGCCGGTCCTCATTCCAATCTCCCTTTAATTCTCCATGGCATTGCCCACACTCTATATTTGAAAATCTTGTTTCTTTTTGTAGAGCTTAATCTTCCTACTTTCATATTTTAGAGTTGTATTAATCATAACAGGTCCCCTTGGCCAGGCGCCGACCTTTGGTTTGCTGTGGTACTTTGCTGTGTACTCTGTGGCATCATGTTACTGTGTAAATAAATTCATTTTAATATACATTAAAAGCCAGTCTTTGAGCACTTGTCTTTTAACTCTGCCACACAGACATGCTAGTGACGGTTTGATTGCACACATTGTTGTCTTGCCCCCAGGATGGACACATGTCCTTAAAACAGGAAATGGTAGCTAGTAGTCATCGTGCCCTCTGTCCTCTGGAGCCTCTTCCCCTCCTCTGACATGGACTGCATTTTCTCTTCAGTCCCTCTCCAATCTGAGAAAACTGGGCTTCAGAGAGGAAGTGGAGGCTTTCTGCTTCCCTCAGCCCTCAGAAGACTAAAGGTTTGCTGTGTGAGGTTGCCCCCTGCTGACCAGTCACCTGTAGGCCTCCTGGGTTTGTGCTGCATGTGAGAGGCTTGGTTAACCACCAGATCTGGCTGACTCTCCCAGTGGAAATCACAGAGCTGTGCAGATCATATGAGCAGGGGCAGGGCCTGTACGCATCATCTACAGAATTCACCCACGCCTTTGACCTGTTCTGTAAGGTGCGCGGTCACACGCCTGTTCCTCACAAAGGCAGACAAGCTAATTGGTGGAAACTGCAGAGTAGAGAGAGGAGGCCACCTGGCTTAAGCAGGAAGAGCCAGCCATCAGCAGTGGTAGCAACAGCTGTCACATTATTAGCATGGATGAAAGTGCAAGTGTGCACACTTTAAATTTAGAACACTGTTCTAACCTACAATGGACGCTGCCTCCAACCCACTGTTTCCTGCTATTCTTCACTGGCAAGCAAGCACTCTGAAATTTGCAGACATTGTTTTTTTTTTTTTTTTTTTCAATTTTTTTTTTTTAGTTGCAGTGGAATACATATTTATTTTTTTAATGTGGTGCTGAGAATCGAACTCAGCATCTCACAGACATTAGGCGAGCGCTCTACCATTGAGCCACAACCCCAGCCCCTCCAGACATTGTTTTTAAGACATATTCCAGAAGAGTAACTGCCAGGCTCAAGTTTTGTGTTATTGAGCAAAACGCATACTGGTGTGGACCTAAAAATTGTGTTGCCCGGGGCCTAGGAGAAAGGGTCACCAACAAAACCAACCAGACAAGCCTGGGGACATGGGCCCTTCCTGCTGGTGGAGAAGAGCCTAGGGGATGGCCCGCACAACATGCAGGTTTCTGGGGGTAAGGAGCTGACGAGGTGGATTGGGTGGTCTTCACTAGGTTGGGTGGCTACCTCATGAGTGCCACCCCAGGGCCCTAAAAGGATGTGGGCCAGGGCATGGTGGGACCGGTTTGGGGTTGGCTTAGCCAGACTCCAGGGGAGATAAAACAGACCAGAGGAAACCTGAGCTCCTGTTCTTCAGTGAGACCGCTTTGTCTTAAGGGAAGAGAGTCTGGAGAGAAGTCCTCTCCCCTCCAGCACCACTGCCCTCCTGACTCATGACTGAGCACTGACACCTGCATGGCCTTTGGCATTACATGCCTGCAGTGACCGCTTTCAACCCAACAAGCATTCTTTTTGCTTTGTTGTTTTTTTTCTTTTTTTAATTGTTTGTTAAGCTGTTTTTGGTACT